CCCCCCATGAATGGTGCTCGAAGTGAGAGGGCTGACATATCCGGAGCGCTGTAAAGCAGTGAATTTTTTACGCTCCAGAGGCGACCAAATCATGATGTACAAGGTGATCGTTTGCGGTGACATCCCGAAGGTCGCACAGTACTTCAAACTGGCCGTTGATATGCCTACGCGCAGACATTGCTTCAAGCTGGGGGTACAACGGACAGATGACCTCCCGCACGTCTATCGACTCTCAAGGCGCACCGTGAATACATGAAACAATCTCTCTTCACCCCCCCCATGTTGTTAATGCCGGCACAGTTGTCAGGTTCAGGAAGAAATACTATGCCTTATTTGAATCGTGATCTATACCGTCCACGGGAGTGCTCTTGCCTTGGCGGGGGGATTGGTCTAACCCGAAAAACTCCCATATGTCCGGTGGCTGCAAAGAAGGCGTTTCCATGGGTCCATTCCCTATCCTCTAACATGAAACATGTTAACGCATCTGGTGCATTCACTTACTCTTTCTACAAATCGCCAATAGAAAAGTTACTGTGACCTTCGTTCATTAATAGACTGTCTGAAATTGTAGGCAGCTTACTACTGGGAAACAGGTCTTCGTCTTCCTCGATAATTCCTTGCTCGATTTTAGCAGACACCAAACAGCGTTTAATAGGACTTTTTGGTACTGGATTTTGTTGATTGCATTGGTGTAACCGTCTTTACGTATTTTCGTCATGCACTTGGGTACCGAAATCCTCCAACGGTTTTAATTTTTTATTAACTAAGAACCGTTTGAGCAACACAGCCGACAAAAATGGCATGATTTTATACATTCGAGAACTCTTTATTCCCTAACTTTCATCGCATGTTAATAAGCGTATCGTTTCGATAAGAAACTAGCTTAGAGTAATCTAACGGTATTAGTGCATATACAGCGGTCGAAGCTGCCGAGGGTTGCCAATACCTGCGGTCGTTTCCAGTCCACGAGAACAGTGAACAGAGTGGATAAGCAACACACCGAACATGTTCATAAGAAAAAATAGGAGAAATGTATGAAAGCAATTCTAATGGACATAACTACGTAATAAGGGTCCAATATAAAATCTAGAGGGGTAGGTTACATTTGCGATAGTCCCAAATGGAGTGGGGGACGTTGTATTGTGTCTGTTAGATCACTGGTGGAGAGTGCATTGCCGTCGACAACTGCATTGGCTGGACGTAAATGTGCTGACATTGTGTGAGAGACTGAGAGCGAGCGCGAGGACAGAGTCACCGGCATCTTCATTGTTACTCGATTACATCCATCCACTACCTGCGCCAAAGTCAAGTCCTCACTCCATTTAAATAACTCATTAAGTCCTATGGTACGTTACACATTAACCACAGATACTGTTGGTCAGACATGCGAGAAGACCTGGTGCTAATGGTGTTAATTCCATCCTCAAGTCGGCTGGCAAAAATGTCGCACTAATCACGATAATATTTGCAACCCTGTGATTTGACGTTTTTCGTTACCGTAGTGGACAGTTTGTCAGTCAGCCGTATGTCCTGTGTTCCGACGGAATCCCGTTGGAAAAATAAACAGGATGTGCTGGCGTTTGTTTGAATTTTACAAGCCAAACTACCATTTTGGGGCAGTTAAACGATGCGAGTGGCAGCCAGACGCCACCGAACAGAATTCCTCCCTGTTAAAAGTTTACGTCCTTTGCTGCTTACTCATCGATGTCGCACATTCTTTAAACGGTGTCTTCTGAATCTACCGACCTGTTCATATTTAATTTACAGTTTACGGGAAATGCGACTGTTTACACACAACATCCTAACGTCGCGTGTGCTGAAGTCCGTTAAAGTGGGCTATCCTCTTGCCATAAAGGTAATCCGTGTTGCCTCGTTTTGGCGAGCACTCATTTTATTCAATATAGGCAACGAAAGTGGAAATCACACCCGCTGAGTTCGAGGCTTCACAAACTGCCAAATTCATCCCCAAAATTGAGTGGAAAGTTCTCAAGAGTGCGGCAGAGCAGGTGAGTCAATGTAAACCTCTTTTATCGGTCAGGTACTCTGATTACCTTTTGGAATTTGAAGCCTTCGTACTCTTTTGGAAATCCTTTTTTTTCTCGATTCCGTTTAGATTGCGTTGATCGCTCCATTTTTTTGTAGGCAACTTGCGCTCTAGTTTTTTATTTGAGTTTTACTCCACTGAAAATGACTGTCGTTCATCAATCTTCTATTTCGTGTGCACTCCCCAAAGCGTTAAGTAGTTACCCTCAAGTACT